TAAAATCTTTAAAAAAAAAAACAAACTAATGATGTAATGTATGGTGATTAACATAATTAAAAAAACATAAAAAAATAAAATAAAATAAAATGCAAGTATATGCCAAATGGTTTACTCAGGATTTCTGTTTATACAGAAAACATTCGTGAGCATAAAAAGCAAACTATATTATTGTGATTGGTCAAAGAATGACAGCATAGGTCCTGCAATATTTTATATTTAATTTCATTATCTACTACCAATGAAATTATAAATGAATCTACATACTCAGAAATGTATAGGGTTTTTCCCCCATTACCACAAATGCATATAATTATCCATATTACAAATCAGCTTATCCATTGTTATGCCCACCTTAAAATGGGTATCTCAATCCAATTCAAATTTATTGAAAAATTAGAAAGTTCTGAAGTAATGTCTTTGAATCTACTGAAGTTAGAGAGAGGAGACTTTTTTTTTTTTTTAATTTATTTGAGAGAGAGTGAGAAAGTGTGTGCATGTGTGAGTGGGGGCAGGGGGAGGGACAGAGGGAGAGAATCTTAACCATACTCTGAGCTGAGCATGGAACCTGAAGGGGGCTTGATCCCAAGACCTATAACATCATGATCTGAGCCAAACCAAGAGTTGGACACTTAACTGGACTGAGCCACCCAGGTGCCCTGAGTGGAGCCATTCTTTAAGATAAACATCATTTCTCCTCTTTCTTTTAAATATATCAGGTTCAGGATTTTCCTTTGAGTAGCTTTCTCTGGTCATGCCCATCTCCTCAGTGATATGTTATGAAGGTAGAAATGATATTTGTTGTGTTCTCTTAATAACTGCTAGTTCTTGACACATGGGATATTTAAAGGCCTGCATATCTCACATTTGGTTTTTATGGTCCACTTTTCATGGTATCCTTAAAGCAGTGAACAGCATTATATTAGTAGGATTATATACTCTCGTTAAAAATTTGCCGGACTTTGCAATTAGTTTGGAACAATTCCTAACGATTTCCAAACACTTCAGTGTTGTTCACATACAGGTGGTAGATAAGTACATCAATATACCAGACAATGCTCATCTCTTTACACTCATGACAACGTTTGTGTGCCATAAAAAATAAGTCAACATGAATAAATAATTCATTCACTTCTTTGCTTTGATGTCCTCTTACTACTCAGTGCTCACGTGAAATGCCACCTCAGAGTCCTTGCCAGTCCACTAATCCAGTGTAACCCATCATTCCCTTACAACTTCGTGCGTGATTATCAACAAAACACTTGTCAGTGATATCTTTTGTTTAGTTATTTGTTCTTGCCCCACCCCCTCTGGTTATTTCCAAAGTTGGTAAGCCCCATAAGGACAGGGACTTATATTTCCCTAATGTATCCCCACTCCTAGTACAACATAATAGGTATACAATAAATGCTAACTGAATGATATGAGTAGATGAATCAATGAGTGAGAGAGTGAATACCTGGAAAACAGAGATGTAAATACATTAATTCATCAAATAATTAGCCCTATCATTAGTCATTGTTAAACAGTGATTTTCATGAATATGCACATTATGATAAAAGAAGGGAAAAAAATGCTTTTCTACCAGTAATTCTTATCTGGATGAGGGAGGGAGGGATTTTCCCTCCACAGGGCATTTCACAATGTCTGGAGAGGTTTTGTGGTTGTCACAGCTGAGAAGGTAATACAGGCATCCACTGGGAGGTCAGGGATGCTGCTGCTAAGGATCCAACATTGCACAGGATAGAGTCCTAAAGAAAAGGAATTATCCAGGCCAACATTTTATAATGCCAATGCTTTCTACTATTTTTTACTCCTCATACATATTTAACACATATTTATTACACAACTGCCACATGCTAATACTGAATTTCTGTGAGGAAAAAGACATGTTATAAATGTATTACAAACAGATTGACTAATAGATGGTTGGCTGGCTAGACTGATAGATGGAAGGATAGATGAATGGATACTTCATAGATGGATATATGCATACATACATACATAAGTGTGCTATGAAATAAATATAATAATGCCTTCCTTCAAATGAAAGGCATATGTCTCCTTCCCATAAATGAAAATCATTGTGTCAAGTGAGATCTGTATTAACTATGTGGAAGGAATGGTTCTGTAGTATGTGAGGAAAAGGAAAACTGAAATCCAAAGAAAGACTTCGAGCAGAGGCAGTTAGAAAACAATCAGAGGTCCAAATAGTGGGCCTTATACTTAGATTACTGGATGGAAAATAAAAATTCTTTGTTTCCTAGAAGAGGTGCTGCATTCTATGGATGCAGCATGTTCCATGAAATAGGTGAGAAGTAGCAAAGGCAAGATTTATATTAAGAGAAGGACAGAGGTTGCTTCCTCCAAGTCTTCCTCATTTCTATTGTAGTATGGAGGGATCCAAAGTGCTTGCTTTACTAGCACATATACTAAAATTGGAATGATGTAGAGAATACCATGGCCCCTATATAAGGATGACATGCAAATCCATAAAGTCTTCTATATTTTTCAGTGGGATAACATACTCAAAGTGCTAAAGGTCAACCGAGAATTCTATGTCTAGCAAAACTATCCTTTAAAATTAAGGAGAAATTAATAAATTCCCAGATAAGCAAAAACGGAGGGAATTTGTTGCTAGCATATCTGCCCTACAAAAAACATTAAAGTAAATCCTTCAACCTGAAATGAGAGGAAACTAGACATTCACCTGAAATCTACAAACACAAAAAATAAAGAACACTAGTAAACAAAAATATAAAAGACATTATATGTATTTCTTGTAACTGTCTTCTTCTCCTACATGATTAAAAAACAATGGCATAAAGATGAAATTTGTATGACAATAACAGCCAAAGGACAGAGGAGGTAAAGCATATACTGGAACAAAGTTTCTATATACTATTCAATTAAGTTAGTATTTATATGAACTAGATTGTTTTAGGTAAGATGCCAATTGTAATCCTCAGGGTAACCGCTAAGAAAAAAAAAATTAAATACAGAAAAAGAAACAAGGGATATAAAATAGACACTAGAAAAATATTTAAAATGAAAGAAGACAGCAACAGAAAAACAAAAATGTAGACATATAGGGAAAAAAGCAAAATAAAAGATGTCAATTCCATCATATCAATAATTTCATTAAATGTAAATGGATTTAATACTCTAATAAAGAGATTGCCAGAGTAGTTTAAATAAAATGATCCAACTAGATGCTGCCTAGAAGTGAAAAACTTATGGTTAAAAGTTGTTTACGGATGAATGTAAAAAGATGGAAAAAATATGTACACCTTGGAAAAAGTAACCAAAACAGATCTTGGGTGGCTATACTACCATTAGACAAAATAGACTTTAAGAAAAAAAAATGTTATTAGAGACAACAGGGGACATTTTATAATGATAAAAAGTCAGTCGGGAAGATACAACGATTACAAACATAAATTTACCTAAAAACATAGCCCCCAAATATACAAGATAAAAACTGACAAAATTGAAGGGAGAGGTAGACAATTCAACAATAATAGTTGAAGACCAATACCTCATTTTCAATAATGGATAGAACAACTATGCAGAAGATCAAGAAGGAAATGGAAGGCTTGGAAAGGTCCAGAAGTTTCCATGGACTTCTGTGGGAGAGCACAGGAATTGCTGAAGATAAAAGCCACAGGGCCACTGCACCAAGATGAAACAGACCTTTATTAGTAAGAATTCTCCACAGAAACAACAGGGGGTGTGTGTGTGTGTGTATCTATATCTATCTGTATATAAACACGCACACACACACACACTCAAGAGAGAATGAGAGAAAGAAAGAGAGAGAAAGTGGTTTCTTGTTTCTTTTAAGGGATCATCCCACACAATTGTGGAGACTTGTTAAATCCAAAATCTGCAGGGTAGACTAGCAGCCTAGAGAATCAGTGAAGAATGACAATTTGATTCCAAAGGCCGTCTGCTTGGAATATTTCTTCTTCCTCTGGGAAGGTTAGACTATTCTCTTAGGGCCTCAGCTGATTGGATGGGACCCACCCATATCATAGAAGGAGATCTGCTTTACTCGAAGTCCAGTAATCTAAAAGTTAATCTCATCCAAAAAATATCTTCACAGAAACACATAGAATAATGCTTGACAAAATACCTGGACACCGTGGCCCACACCAGTTGACACATAAAATTAACCATCACAGGACTCCAGTGATGAGTTGAATAGATGATGTTGCCAAGACTCAGAGACACCTAACAGCATGAGCAAGACTTGAGGTGGACAATAAAAAAGGGAGGGTTTTCGGACCATGGTAGTCCAGGAGAACCAGCCTGATCACAACTGTACCAGTCTCATAATTTACAAGAGGTGGTGGTCATAAGTGGGCGACTGAAATTAAATGCTAATGGCAAAGCATTGTCCTGAAGGAAAGCAAGGAACTACAAGCTAGCATAAAACCGAATACTTATATAGGAGTCCCTTTGTACTGCACTCTTGATTCATGTACCTTCCCAAGCTCCTAGGCAATTTCTTGGGGTATATAAGTGAAAAAAGGAATAATTCTGAAACACTGAGAAACTAGGGAGATTAAGTTAGTTAAAAGGGTTGCAGAGTTTCTCCCCATGAACATTACTCAAATTTTAGACGAATAAATTTTTGTTGTGAGAGGATCTCCTGTGCCTTGTAGGATTTTTGCGGGGAGCACTGACCTCTATCCAGGAAAGGCCAGTGGTACCCCATCCCCCAAGTCATGACAATCAAAAATATCTCTATACATTGTCAGGTGTTCAGGGGGGCAGGGCACAAAAGCAACCCAGCTGAGAACAACTGGGTTAGAGATTGTGATATTGTGAATTGGAAAGTTATCTAGCTAATTATATTTGTGTGTGTGTGTGTGTGTGTGTGTGTGTGTGTTGACAAGGGCACTTGCTAACAGCTAACTCTTAAAACCTGGGAGGAAAGGTTTCCTTTCTAGTACTCATAAGTACAAGAGTATTCATTAAACTTATTTATTGAACTAAACATCCAACCAACAAACAGAAGTTCTAGTTCATCTCTTTACCCTTCACTCTCTCCTCATATAAAAAAAGTGATTTACTTGATTGTAGTCAAGGTGATGGTTTATAGTAGTGGAAACTCCTGAGTCTTTACCCTAGTGCTCATTCTTAAATGCTTGCCTTTAAACAGATTCAGACGTCTTTGTCAGATCCTGCTCACATGTAGTCAAAATACCAGAAGCAGTTACGAATCAGCTTTAACAGTAATAAAAATGTTTCAGCATTTTAATGCTTACCTAAATTAATTCCGCAGGTCCTCAGTTTGCTCTTAATAATAAGATGATTTGCCACAAATTGTTTTCTTTTTTTAAGAAGAATGCTTTTCAATTTTCTTGACATATTTTGTTGGAAAATGGTTTAGATACAAGCCATGCCAACACCGCAGTCTCTTGAACATCCCCTGCAAAATCTCCCACTCTTTTAGGTACAAACTGCCATCGCTGTTTCTGGCTTTAAAATAAATACCTTTAGTTTACCAATAACATTTTTAAACATGTGTTTTATTTTTACATTTTATCTTGATCCTGACTTAGCAAAGATATGCCTTAAGATCAATACAGTATCAGTATATATTTTTTTTGTTTTGTTTTCTTTTTCTCTAGTAGAAACCTGATTTTATCCCAACATAACCATAATCAGCACTTAACAACAACAACAAAAAACCACTGGACAATGTGGGGAAAAAAATCTATATTTTCATGCAATGGTTTTGCACTCAGTATGAAAAAAAATGCTTGCCAAGTAAAGGCATTAACACATTTTCAAGGGACTTTTCAAATGCATTTTTTCCCCTTGGCTCAGCATTTCATTTTTACAGCATCTATTAATCAAGTCTAAGCAGGCTTTAAATCCCCAATCCCTGCTTCAGATTATTTCACAATTGCTGTCCTCTTCTGTTTTTGTCTCTGGTACCATCTTCCCCTGATTCCATTGTTTTAGTTGAGCTCTTTGCTCTGCACTTTAATCATCCCAAGTCTACCATCCTTTGAGAAGAGCAGCCATTAATGTGTAAGGCCATAAAACGAGGACTAATATTTATACTTTCAAAGGGAATTCACTGAATAATAAAGACCATTTAAGAAATGCCAGGAAAAATGGATTACTCCAGAATACAGAGCAACCAGTCCAGATTGGAGAACAATGCCATTTAGTCCTGAGAACTGATAGAGAGAAACAAAGGAAAAAAAGAAAATGACTAAAATCCATCGTTGTTCTTTATTGTACTTGGATATTAAAACTCCCAGAATCTAAGAAGCACTTAACTTAAGAAGAGGGAAAGACAACAGCTATACATTTTAAGAAGTTAAAGATGTATAAGATCAAAGAATACGGTAATGCACAGAACCAGATACTTTCTCCATAGAAAAATAATTTGGTCAAAAGGGTTTTACTGTTTCATTGAGGTGGAAAGGCACAGATAAGTGGTTGCCTATTTTCTTCTCTGTCTTATTCTTAAAAGTAACTGACAAATTGTTAAGAATCTAAAGGCTAAACACCATTAAACTATTTTTTCAGGTATCTGTCATAATTCTAAATATTGTTATTCTATAGGTCCATTTTTATGCATGCCTCCATAATAATAGTAATACCTGGGCATGAGAAATATAGAGAGAAATCAGAGGAATCTCAAGTTGCTTGAAACCATTGAAAACCAAGGGCAAGCCCATATCTGAAACCCAAGCTTCCTGGATTTTTCTTCCACAACAAGATTCAAAATAACATCATTTCTTGCTTTGTTCCAATCCTTGATGAAGTTCAAATACTGAAACAGTTTCCTGTCTGAAATTTGCAGACTGCCATTCAGAACTTCATAGAATATTACCTTGATTGAATAACTGTGTGTGTACCTCTGCAAGGAAATGGTGTGTCTATTCATTAACTCCGGTATCCCAAATCTACCATTATGCTTCTTGAAAGTGACAATAAATTGCTTCCAAATACAATTTCTTCTCATCCTTTTTATGGATATTATAAAAAAGCAGCAAATCAAAGAGGAAAACAGGTTAATTTTATGCCAATCACAAAACCTGGTGACAGGTGTTGCCATGTGTTGCGACAAGATCTCTTGGCCATGGGTCATTGCTTTGAAAGGAACTAACGAATGGCTTGCAGTGCTGTGACACACTGAAAGGCCCCCTGGGATCTCATGCAAAGATCTCATGACAGGTATGAAATTAACTCGTGGTATCATGGTATTTTCCAAACATGACAGCTTCCAGAGTAGTTGCCATTTAGCACAGTGGGGATTGTGGGAGGAACTGAGACATCTCGTAAGTGATTTCAGTGGGATCTCCTAAGGGCCATAAGAAAAACCATCCCCCGAGAAAATGTGGAGAAAGTTAAAATTATAGAAGGTGGGGCTCAAATACGTAGCAGTTAAGCAAAAATAATTCTGTTTTGGATACTCTTGTCACTTTAATTTGCTTCCTGGACTAATCTCCACAGGGAAGATGAATAAAGTATCCATTATTATAA